GTTTTCTTTTGCGTGGAAACCGAGTCCAAATGGCTCTTTGGGTGTAAAAGGTTGCTGACCCCTGCCTTAGACGGACGGGTAGTCAGGAAGTGAGCGGCTGTGCACAGCCTCCAACTCCGCCCTAACTTGCGTGTGTTTCAGAGACAATCATATCCAGGTAAAATAATGTCCTTTAATCTACACACATTTAGGAATCACTCAGCTGATCACACGGTGATTGAATTATTGCCGGCGTTGTGCCAAAAAAGTGTCGCCTGCCAAAACTGATTTCCAATGTTTCCGTGTGTAATATGTTTAATATCTGTATGTATGTTGGTAAATAGACTTCAGTGAACATGGTTTCACGTGTTATAGACCAACAAGTTATTCATAGCAGGTTAAATACGAGCAATCAGTTCAGGGAAAAAACAGGAAATCATTTTCTGGCACATCGGTCGTTCTCACACATGTGCTGCATCATATAACATATATAAACGAAATATCTTTGAAACATATAGAATCTAATCTTTTGTTTTTTACACAGCACTTTATCAAACTGTTGTCTGCTACAGTTACAAGTATGATACTAATAATGTAGCCTCCACCATCTCCTGCCTGCATATTTCTGAAAACATCTCAGTGGCAGCCACGAGTGAGCGCTGCAGACCTGAGGATGGACGATGCCGTGGACAGTGGGAGCATCCTCAGCCTCTCTTTGCTGCCTCGTGTCCTCTCTGATCAGGTCGAGCAGCTCATCTCTTCTCCTCTTCCTCCCTGTCGTAGGTGGCTGAGCCGCTTCGTCATCGCTGTCGTGTTGGTCACCCACTGCTGCGCTCGGCCCTGGAGTGTCCTCAGGGAGAGAGGACATTAGGACAGGAGGCCTCTGTCCTTTCACCTCATCCATGAGGGCAAACCAGGGCCGAGCACAGCAGGGGGCTTCCCACTGACCCCCTCTGCTGAGCTGATACTTGCAATCCTAAAGGCAGAGGAAATAAAAACACAACAACAACTCTCAGTAGTTGCACATTTATTAACTTGTGTTCTTAAGAATCATCTTCTTGATAACACACAGACGTACTTTGTGTTCTTTAAAGTTATCTCATGTCTTCTGGCCTGCAAGCGGGTGACTTTCCCCTGCAGGCCCATCTTCTCCAGGATTGTCCTGATCACACACATAAGAGAAGAGAGGAAACCATGGCAACTATGTTAATCCCTAAACCCAAAAGTTGTCACAGCAGAAC